CGTGCCAAGCTCTTGGTAGGTCGCTCGAACAGAATAACAACCGGAGGCCAGTTTGGAATTTAATTTAATAATATGGGGGAAAAATTTCAGTTTTTCGTCAATAAGGAGTCCCAAAAACTTGGAGTGATTCACGGAAGCTATGTGGCCTGACCCCAAGCTTAAATTAGTAACTTCACAGTTGAAACTGATTAAATGTGTTTTTGACATATTCAAACACAGACGATTTGCGTCACACCAGTTTTTAATTTTTTCAATGTCTGAAACAATATCCTGCTGTAGTTGTTGAGTATCTTTGTTGTGCCAGAATATGGTTGTGTCATCAGCAAACAGTGCAAAGAACCCAGCTATCTGTAACTGTGTCAAATCATTAATATATAGCAGAAAGAGCAAGGGGCCCAACACAGAGCCCTGAGGCACACCACATGATATTTTTTGTTTTCTAGAAGACACTCCATTTAAATTGACTGACTGCACTCTGTCTCCCAGATAGCTCTCCAACCACGTCAAAACCCTACCGCGAAACCCGTATTTGTAAAGCTTGCCCAACAGAACCTCATGACTCACGCAATCGAAGGCCTTCGACAAGTCACAAAAAACTGCCGCACAAGCCTCACGATCGTTCATGGCATGGAACACCTTGGATAGAAAGTCAAACATAGCGTCTGTCGTGTTTTTTTTTGCCTGGAAGCCATATTGATGCTCATTTATAATGTTGTGTCTCTCCAGAAAAGTTGTAAGACGCCGCTTGACTAATCTCTCAATGACCCTAGAAATTGTTGGAAGCAAGGAAATGGGTCGGTAATTCGAAGGATTTGATTGATCACCACCTTTGTAGAGAGGGATGATTTTGGCAACCTTAAAACAAGACGGAAAAGCACCGGCATCAAATGACTTGTTGATGACAGTAGACAAGGCCATGAAGGCAACTAGTGGAAGACTTTCTAGGATTTTTATTGAAATACCATCATCGGCAGCAGATTTTTTATTTTTTATTGCCTCAATCGTTTCTAGGACTTCTAATGGGGTGGTGTGTGAGAAGTTATTAAAGAATTCTGGTATTTCGATGTGTGAGAGGTAATTTACAGGGTCAGTAGTCGGCCGTAAATCCGACGTAAGTGTGTTTGCAACCGTGCAATAATAGTTATTTAAAATATTTTTGTCAATTTTTATTTCAGATGATTTATTTACACGGCCAGTTAACTCATTGACAATGGCCCAGGATTCTTTTTGTTTATTACTTGAGTTGTGTAAACGCCTGGAGTAATATAGCTTTTTAGCCGCACGTATAACTGCTTTATAAGTTTTTCTGTAATGAGAGTAATATGACTGTAATATGTTATTATCACAATATGTTTTCCTTAGGGTATTCAAGAATCTTAAGTTAGAAGCAGAAGTACGGATGCCAGCCGTTAACCATTTCTTGCGGTCCTTACGTTTTGGTTTAATATTTGTAACAGGAAACGCTTTGTTAACTAATCCTGTTAAGCAATCATTAAATGCTCCCAAAGAATCACTTTCTTGAAGAAGTGAATTCCAGTTAAAAACCTCACAAACTTGGCGAAATTTTTCAAAATTATTGTTACTATATATTCTACCCTTTCTTTTTACTTAATTTAAAACACAATTTAAAGGAATATCAGCCAAGATTGCCCTATGATCAGACAAGTCAGGATCCCAAACATGACAGGGAACGTCCTCTTGTGTGTTGGATGCAATATAGTCAATAGTGGTTGAAGAGGATTCCGTTACACGAGTAGAACAATGCACATGCATAGTCAGAGAAAAAGATTCAAGCAGTTCAGATAGTTTAATAGTGCATCTGTTATCTTTATCCTCGAAGTCAATATTGAGGTCACCCGCAAGAATTATTTTATGATTTATAGGAAGCTTAGAGAGAAGTACTTCAAGTATTTCCAAAAATAAGTTTAAATTGCCGTTAGGAGAACGATATATGCAAATAATAAAACATTTTGATTTATTAGAAAAAATAATAGAGAACTCAAACTGTTTCTCAATAAGCAAACCATTTAATTTTTCATAAGGTTCAAAATCCCCGTCAAAGTTCTCATGCACTAAAGCTACAGTTCCACCATGGACAGAATCAGACCTACAAAATTTAGAGACTACACAATACCCCGGCACAAAAAGGGGTTCTTCTGGTTTCAACCAGTGTTCCGTCATTACAACTATCCTTGGAAACCTTAGGCTTTCTAAAACAATAAAAAGTTCATCAATTTTGTTCCGTATTGACCGAACATTAATGAGCACTAAGGAGATACCCGTATATGAGCTTCCCGATCTAAAAAAGGACCTACGTTACTGCAAACAAGGCTGCAATCTGTTGTATTGTAATTACCAACAGTATTGCAATATTTAACACACGAAGATACAAAAACATTTTTCAACAAAAAACTTAAATTTACATAATTATAGAGAGTTTTACAGAGATGTTTTTTTGTTACCCTAAACCTACCATTAATTATAACATTGTCTAAGACTCTAATAGAAGCATTTTGTCGTTGAAGAAACTCATGACATATCGACGCAAAACCAAGATATTTATTATATGAGCTATTAGAATAGGTTAAAGAAAAAATAAGGTGTACATATTTTCCAATAGAGAGTAATTTTCTTAGTTGACCGTTATGAATGCCGCCTGCAACGTCCAGATTAATGCAAACAATAATGCTATCCTGAACGCCGAAGTCCGTTGTCCGCTGAAAGACTTTATTCGCCATTTGAGATATCGAGAATCCTGGATAAGATTCGCCATTGACTGAACATTCAGAAGTGTCAACGAAACGAAGCAAACCAGGTGCGACACCACGTGCACTTGAGTCCCCGAATACCAAAACTCTTTTCTTGTTGGTGCAGGAAGAGGTAGGATGTGGCTGACAGTGGAGATTTTGTTTTTCTTGCTTCCCGGAGTTTCCCTGGCTGTTTGAATCGACAGCTGTCAGCTCATCCAATAAAGAATTGGCATTCCGAATCGCACTGTCTTTCCTACCCCTTAATGTTGACCCACACACAGGTGGCGAAAATGTAATAGTGTCAGAAACCGCCCGCTTCAAGCTCTCAAGCTCAGAAGGCAAAAAAATATTTTCCTGATTTTGGGTCTCAATAGTGATTTGCATTTGACATCTAAGCTCCTCAAGCTCCAAAAGTTGTTTTTTAGTGTCCTCTAGTTCTTCTTCTAATAGAAGCCAATCGTTCTTAGACCACCCCAGAGACTCCTCCTTACTTGCAACTGAAAGAGTTTGTGAACTGACATGGAGCAAAACAGTACTTGGAGGAGTTGTTTGAGTAAAAGTGGACGCCAACTCCTTTGGGATTACCCTATTCTTAGCCTTAAGGGATGTGATCATGCTTTTTAAATCATTATTTTCTTGCACCAAATGCTTCTCCAAATTCTCAGCTTCCTGAAGAAGCATTTGGTGATCACTCTTTAATTTAACTATATAATTGGATTTACTGCTTAGTTCAGTTTTTAAGTTGCATATCGTTTGTTGTAGGGATGTAAAAATAGGCGATTCCGATTCACTAACTCGCCCGGAGCATTCCTCAGAACAAATTATAAGATTTCCCTCAATTATTTCTACTCCCCTGTTTAGTCTCGATCTACAGCTTTTATGAAAAATACCATGACATTGTATACAAATCCAACTTTTTTGAGCTTTGTTCTTGCAACAATTAAAAACTAGGGCCATTCTGTATATTAATTAAAAATCAGAATAAAAAATCCATTAAACAGCATAGGAAAAATGTAAATATAAACACATTAGTGTACCATAGGTCAGTGCATCACAAAAAGTTCAAATGTTCACCTTGACTGACAAATATTTGGAGAACCTTATCTTTTGCACTTTTTATGCATAAAATGAATAAATCATATTGTAAACCAAACAATTAGTTAACATATAATTACACGTATTGTACTTATCCATTACTATTCAAATTTTAGATTCTACCTCACAAATCACTTATGAATGTACTGTGCAATTTTCAACTTTTTAATCACACTACAACACTTAAAATAGACAGTTTTTAGGGAGCGAATTTACAACACGTCTACTTTACACGTCTAGAAAAATAAATAAGTTACCGACAAAGAAAGCTTGATAAGTGGAAAACTAAAGAACTATATGGGAGATTTTATAATGAGTTATCGCAACCAGAAATTGATAAAGACGCATCAAATACTTGGCTTAGAAGAGGAAATCTGTTCCCAGAAACTGAGGAATTTATGATGGCTATACAAGACCAGGTCATAAGCACAAAAAATTATAACAGGAATATATTAAGAAAAAATGATGTTGAGTCACAAAAGCACATGTGTCGAAAATGCAAAATAAGCTTCGAAACAATACAACACACAACGCAGTAGGCTGTCCAATACTAGCTCAAACAGACTATTTATAACAACATAATCAAGTTGCAGCTATTATACATCAACAAATAGTTAAAAAAATTAAGGTCACTAATGAAAAAGATGATGTCCCTTATTACAAATATAACCCTCCTCCTGTAATTGACACGGAATCTCTTAAACTGTATTTTCACCATATAGAAAACTATAGCCGAAAAAATTAGTAAACATAGCGACTCGCGAGAGAAAATGTTTCGAAAATGGAAAGCGAGGGCTGTACAAATAAGACCAATCGTTATATAAACTACTGGATTGATCCCGAAAAAGTTAACATATAGCATCCAATCACTTAATCTTCCGCCCAACGTATAATATAGAAATGCAAATATCTGTAATTTTAAATACAATACATGCAGAATTCTCAGGAAGTTTTTACAACATGGTACCCACTCAAGAAGGTGAAGAATATTGAAAGAGAAATGGTTATTTGCCACTTCACCGTAATTGTGGATTAACCAGTCTGAGAAAAATGACAGAAGCAAAGAATAATAAATAATAATAATAAAAAGTAACGAAGCGAAGCAATTATTGAGTACTCATTAAATAAACCAAAGAAAATAGAATATACGCTTACAGGTTTTGGTTGACTTCATCACAATTTTCTTCGTGACATTGCATCACCAAATCCCAAATCCCAGTCCAACATTCATTTTCCAGTGTCCATTTCAATCCGGCTTCATGTTCCACAAACGAACAAATCATATCTATATAACGCACCTTTACTGGTGTACTCGTGGTGGTTTTAGTGATCTCTGCCATTTTTACCAGTGCATTGTAAGTGCTATTAGTGTTTATTTGAATAAATGTTTTCTCGTTGCTAGATATAATTCTGGCTACTGCTAGGACTAATAGTTTTTGTTCAGTTATAGGCCAGTGCTTGAGTTTATCGAAGAGCTTTGGGATTTTTACTAGGAATGAGATGTAGTGTTGCCTTTCATTGTCAGTCATTTCGAAATCGATACCATTTTCTGGAAAGTGAAGGTATTGAACTTATTGTTTTGTTGCACTCAAGATATTACCTGAGCATTTGCACCAACAATGATTATTTTGATTATAATCCAATTTGTGATCTGTTTTCAAAGCGTTCTGGAAATATTGGTGCCATTCTGTATCAACATGTTCAACAGTGACGGTGTCTTCCCAATCCATTTTCAGTCCTATTGTCGATTCCTAAAACAAAAGTTATTCACCCTCTTATCTAAAAATTCTAATTATGTTGCCCACTTTATTCACTATCAAGAATCTTTTGATAACCAAAGGTCATATTTTAGAAACACGTTTTGGAAAACAGAGGTTTATGTAAATATTACCTATACTACTAGTCCACAGAAAATATATATTTTTTTTAATTTCATTCATAATTAAAATTATTTTTTTTGGGCTTTTCCCAATCCAAATAACAAAAATTTATAAAAAAAATTTGTTAAACCAGTACATATTGATATTGGGATTTTAAACAGAATATACAATATTAAAACTTACATCGTCTTTGAACTTATATCATTGGCTGATCCTTTCGCGGGAAAAATGTGTATAGGTATATGTATCAAGTTAATTAATGAATAGAACACAAAACATGGGGAGTTACTATAAAAAAATTCAAAACCTCATTTTCTGAAAGATCGATGCTAAGAATTCAAAATAAAAATTTGAGCATTTACCTTAATTTTGCGAACATCAGTAAAATTAAAACTATATAGATAAAACAATATCACATCAATTTTCTTTTTCACTTTACAACCCTTATTTTGATACACGTTGCACCATCACGAAGAGGATTTAACAAATAACAATAATAGGTAACTTTCTTAATTGTTTTGTCCTTGACTGCTACTTGAAAACGTTTTGAATATTTCAGCTGTCGATTATTTATTAATAATAGTCAATTTCGTTCGGCCATAAGCTAAGGCGTGTTACTAAAACATAATAAATACTTATACGTATTTTAATCGCCTTATCTAAAGAGAGTTTTAATGAGATAATGTATTTTTTTGTTACTAAATCATTAAATAAATAGAAAACCAAGCAATGATGTAGATTACATAATATTAGTTTTCCATCGCGCCTCTCGCGATTGCGAAGCTAGCAATAAATAAATTTTCCTGACTACTAGAATTTCTTTCCCAATAATTATTATTAGATTAAATTCGAACTATTTGAAATAAGACTATTATGGATGAATGGGAAAAACCGAACAACAATGAAAGTTATACTTAGATACTAAAAATCCAAAAATCAAGAAGGCCTAATAGACACATTTTAAGATGATTAAAGAACACAAGAAATGTAGTGACAGGACTTCATGCCTAGAACAGAAGAACTAAGACGAATTCTAATAATTTATTTCCAAAACTCCTTGTTGATTGTATTATTCAAATTTCCAATGTCCATTGATTTCATGCATTGGCCCTTTTTCTACCAAGATAATAATAATAATAATAATAATAGCCCGTGGAGGTTAGCCAGATCCTCTATCGGGCGCGGCCCCCTGCGAATGGGGGATGCTCGCTCATACACTGTATGGGAGAGTAGTGGGAAAATAAAATACCCATCGTGGATCAAAATGTGGCAACCTAGGAAAATGGGTGATACATTGAAACACAAAGCCTCGGAAAAAAACGACGTAAACGGAATCAGGAGCAATGCATCTGATGTCGCGTCCGGCAAGAGACTTGAGGCGTCTCAGGTCGTTATCATGCGAAGCCCTCAACGTCCATCTACTCAACACAACACTGTCACTTCCACCATAACAAGTCATGAAAAAGCTTTCGACGTACTAGAAATAACAGGAGACGGAAACTGTCTCTTCCGGGCTATCAGCTTATATCTGTTGAACACACAAGAACTTCACGCTAAAATCAGAACAGAGGCTGTCAACTACCTCAAAGGACACTGGAAAGAAGTCGAACAACATCTAGTAAATCCAGATAATCAAAAAACTTATTGTCACAAAATGCAACAAAATGGCACATATGGCACCAGTGTAGAAATGTTAGCTATATCTGAAACACAGAAATTAAACTTAGGGATTTATGCAGAAAATATAAGACCGAAAAATGGACAACTAACTACAACCAAGGAGTCTACCATAATTAACAAATGTAAACATCTTGAAGATATCCACTTGCTCCTTCTAGGCGACTTAGAAAGGGTACACTTTGAACTATTGATACCTAAGGAAATTTCGAAAGAAGATAAAACTACAAAAAATGAAAGACAAAAAGAAGAAGAAATACCGACTACTAAGAATGAACAAAGGTCAAAGAATGAGCAGATAAAACCCAAAGGGAAGGTAAGATGGACAACTGAGGAATACAAAGAGATAGTGTGGTGTCACTTTTACATCTTGGAGAAAACTGGAACAGCAAATCTGAAGCAATCATTCGAACTATGGCAAACGAGAAACCCACAACCAAAGAATAATCTTACAGCCAACACAATGGCCACCCAAAGGAGATACATTCTAAACAACAACAAACTAACCGAAGCAGAAATGGACAAAATCAAGAAAGAAGTCACAGAAATCATCAAGCAAGCAACCAGAATGACAAATGAAGAAGACCGGAATAAAACAAGAATGGAGACTCAAACAATAAGCCAACCACGGAATGAAATTCCTCCAGAAAATGAACCTGTTCAGCTAACAAAGGAAACTGATGAGAACGTGGAATCCGCAACTGTTAAAGACGTAGAGTTACAAGAACTCATACAGGAAATCAAGAATAAAATAAACGCGGACAAAAGCACTGACAGTTACAACGAAAGACTAGCTCTAAAGAAGATTAACGACAGCGAAAATGCAAAACACCTCATAAGTCTCGGAAACCAAGCAGCGGAAAACATCTGGAAACAAGCTTCAACTAAAAACAAAAATTTAACAAATGTAAGTAAACTAATCTACGCCATAGCACTGACAATACAAGACCGTCTCATATACAGCAAACAAAAAGTAAAAAGAAGGATAAAAGGAGAACCACCGTGGAAGAGAAGAATACAAGCAAAAATAATCAACATCAGGAAAGAGCTCTCGCAACTAAAAGAATGCTTCAAACCCCAGCTCAGCACAGCAATGGAAGAGAAAAAGAAAGTAAGTACTTACGCGAAACACAATATAAGGAATGTAAAAAGATCACGATAAAATAATCGCCAAAGCTCAAAGAATTCAAAGGTATAACGAAAGAAATGCACAATACCAACAAAATAAATTATTCTCGGAAAACACCAAAAAGTTCTATAATAATATGCTGCAAAAGACAAATGCAGTTAAGTCCACCCCGCCGAAACATGAATTAGAAGAATACTGGAGATCCATATGGGAAAAAAACAATCAGCACAAAAGTGATGCGGAATGGATACAACAAGAATACAAGAAAACAAAACATTAAAAAAATGGAATAGGAAAGCATCATCGCGGAAGGAAGAAGTTACTAACGCCCTCAACGCAACAGCCAATTGGAAATCTCCAGGCGCCGATGGAATCCCGAACTTTTGGCTTAAAAAACTACACGCCATGCACGGCAACCTGGCAGAGGATTTTAACAAGCTGATCCATGAATAACAAAATATCCCTGAATGGTTAACAAAAGGAAGAACATATTTAATCCCTAAGAACGACAGAACGGACGAGGCAAAAAACTACAGACCAATTACCTGCCTACACAACACCTACAAGCTTCTTACCAAAATAATGCCAGAAAGAATGTATATCCATCTCAGACAACAAAATCTACCCCACTGAACAGAAAGATTGTGCAAAAAATACATATGGATGCAAAGACCACCTATTTATAAGCAAAGCTATTCATGAAGACTGCAAGGACTCGCGAAAAAGTTTATCAATAGCCTGGATCGATTATAAGAAGGCATTCGACAGTATTCCACACAGTTGGCTGATAGAAACACTTAAGATCTACGGAGTGTCACCCGCGTTACTACTATTCATTAGCAAAACAATGGAAATGTGGAAAACTGACCTGGACCTCATAACGGATACAAACCAGATAACAATAGAAAATATCAATATTAAATGTGGAATATATCAGGGTGACTCGCTATCCCCACTACTATTCAGTATTCTGTATAGCGCTGATCCCCTTAAGCTCCATACTGAACAACACCAAAACCGGCTATTTCTGCAAAAACGAAACCCAAAAAATCAACCATATCCTATACGTTGACGACCTCAAACTGTTGGCTAAAAATGACAAAGAATTAACAGAATAAATAAAACTAGTCAGATAATTTAGCGAGGACATCAAGATAGAATTCGGACTTGATAAATGTGCCAAAGCCACATTTTAAAAAGGAAGATTGCAATCAAGCTCAAATATCAAAATCAACGACAGTATAACTATCATGGCTCTCGAACAACACCAAGTCTATAAATATTTGGGCATAGACGAACAAGACGGACTACAACACAAAAACATGAAATCCAAGCTCACCAAAGAATATTACCGACGAATAAGGAAAATACTAAAAACCGAATTGAGCGCCAAAAACAAAACATCAGCTATAACATCACTAGCAGTCCCAGTGGTCCAATATAGCTTTGGGATACTGAAATGGACGCAAGCAGAAATACAAAAACTAGATCGAGAAACACGCAAACTGATAACCATGCATGGAGCCTTACATCCAAGAGCAGATGTAGATCGGCTGTATGTCCCCAGAAAAGATGGCGGGAGAGGAACGCTAAGTATAGAAACCTGCCATGCTATTGCCAGAGAAGGACTGGAGAGCTATCTGGAATTGAAACAAAAATCAGACAGATATCTCGGCATAGTATATCAAAAGCAGAAACAACCGAAAAATGATTCCCAAACAATAATAAACGACCCCAAAACTCAGAAATCTGAAACGGAGAGAGTAAAGTCCATCAAGGATCATATAAAAGACGGCAAGAGACGAGAGCAAATGTCAAGGTGGAAAAAAAAGCAATGCATGGTCAAATAGCTAGAGAGATCGAAAAAGAACCAATCAGTAGGTATCAATCATGGAGATGGTTAACCCATGGAAGCCTAAAAGCTGAAACAGAGGCACTAATAATAGCCTGCCAGGAGCAAGCACTCGCAACAAATTACATGAAGGTTAATATAATGAAGTCCGGTAGAGACCCAAAGTGTAGACTTTGCCGGGCGTATGATGAGACCATTCATCATGTTGTGGCAGGATGCTCAGTACTGGCAAAAAAAGTTTACCTTGATCGTCATAATACAGTAGCGACACAGCTCCATTGGAACATCTGCAGGGAGTATAACATTAAAGTGAATGACAAATGGTATCAGCATATCCCGGACGCAGTAATCGACACCCCGGAAGTAATAATCATCTGAGACACACAAGTGCAAACAGATAGACACATTAAAGCAAGGCCAAGGCACTTAGCGAAATAACAGCCATATTTTAACATAAAATTTAACAGCAAACTATCGATGCAATATTGTTAAGGATCATTTATAGATGCTAAAAACCAAAAATGCAACATCTAATTACTTTTTTCTACAAACGTGTTAAAAATGCAATTTTTAACACCCCCTCGAAGCATTAAAAATGTTACTTTATCGCACTAGTGTTAAAAGTCTTTAAGGCACTAGTGTTAAAAATGAAACATCAAAATTTGAAAGCAAACGTCAAAAAAAGTTTGTATTTTTAATTATTTACATTAATATTAATGGTAAAATTTGAACAACTGAGGAAGCTCCTTCGGCCGCCTCCTCTATATTTTTCAAGGGATTGATGCAACCCTCTTTTTCTTGTGTATTTTGTTGCATTTTTAGCAATAAGCTCACTGATCACGATAGACTAACGACAGACTTTCAAGAAACTGACGAGACATTTGATTACCTGTAAAACAATGTGCTGGTTGTTTGAATTTTTTGACAAATATCAACTTCAATAATTTTATGTAGGAAAGATGCTTCCAATTTATTATTTATTTAAAAATCCAATTTGTCACTGGTTATTGCTTGTTATTGCCGTTTGTAGAAAAAATATTGTATGATATTTGTGTTAAAAGTATTTTTAAGGCACTTATGTGAATTGCAGAATTCGCTTCGCTCATTCTGCAAACTTTCACATGCGTGCCTTAAAAATGTACTTTTAACACTTATATCATAAATAACTATTAGGGGATTTTATAAAAAATATTTAGTGCAAAAACAGGGCTTTTTTTTGTTTATTTCACTGTATTTCGAAAACTAAGGATCGGATGGTTTTGCTACTGTGGCAATAGTTTTAGAGCATTGAACAAGCTTTAAAATGAGCCATCATGCAACCCTGTAGGTCATTTTCAGTGTTGTTTGGAGCCGTTTTACTTGCGATAAAAAAATTAAATGGAAAATCTGAGATAGAGTATCGATAGTTTGGCATTTCGACTTATCAGTGGACTTTTCAAAATAAATATAAAAAAATTATCTTCAATTCGACAGACTGCTTCAGAAACATCCCCATTTTGCTTGACAAGGGTATTATGCCGAAACGAACCATCGGACCCGGCCCAAATTTGGGCTCAATAAAGCCTGCCTCATCTACTATGTATGTGTAAAAAATTAATTGTCTAGCATGAAAATTAAAAAAGTTATAGGAATTTTTTACGAAAATTTTTTTTTTGGGGGAAAAAAATCATTTCTCGAAGACTAAAAGACCTACAGGGTTGTATGATGGCTCATTTTAAAGCTTGTTCAATGCTCTAAAACTATTGCCACAGTAGCAAAACCATCCGATCATTAGTTTTCGAAATACAGTGAAATAAACAAAAAAAAGCCCTATTTTTGCACTAAATATTGTTTATAAAATCCCCTAAAAGTAATTAGATATTGCATTTTTGGTTTTTAGCATCTATAAATGATCCTTAACAATACTGCATTAATAGTTTGCTGTTAAATTTTATGTTACGAAAAATTTATCTGCCCTGGCCTATAACCTGCTACTGATGCAGAGATCAGTAGTGTTGAGTAAAGCGCATAAAGTACGAAAAGTCCTATAATTTTTATCTAGCGATCACCTGAAAATGGAAACACCCTAGGTGCATGGTGGGCACCCGGAGTTTCTTGAGACAATTTAACCATAGCCAAAGAATTGCTATGTGATATTATGGAATAAATAATATAATAATAATAATAATAATAATAATAATAAAAAAAATTTGAAAACACAAAATTGGAAAGCGGTAGGAGTTGACCATTTACACAATTACTGGTGGAAGAACACAGCGATATGGAAATTGTTAGCAGCACAAATCAACCGTATTTTAAACAACAAAGAAACAATGCCTGGATACTTGTCAAAAGGAATAACGTTCATGATCCCTAAATCTGATAATACAGAAGAACCTAAGAACTACCGCCCCATCACATGCTTGCCCACCTTGTAAATAATTACATCCGGCATAGCAAATAGTATAGAAAAACACCTTAGTAGACAGAAGCTAATTACTGAAGAGCAAAAAGGAAGCCGAGTACGAACACAAGGATGCAAAGAACATTTCTTGATAGACAGCGTGATTACACAACATGCGAGACATGGTCAAAGAAATATTGCCGTGGCTTGGATCGATTACCAAAAGGCATTCGATTCTGTGCCCCCCAGCTGGCTGATCGAAGTCCTGGAAATATACAAGGTACGAAGGAATTGTGGAGTTTCTTGAAACATGTATGGGAACCTGGAGAACAAAGCTGCTTGTTAATACAGCAGAACAACAAAATAACAACCGAGGAAATACCCATACAGACGGGAATTTTCCAGGGAGATTCGCTTAGCCCGCTGTGGTTTATACTCATTCTCAATCCTGTATCTAAAGCTTTGTGTCAATCGCGTCTGTAATACAAACTCAAGAATGGTGAGCAGAGCTACAACATATCTCATCTGTTCTATGTAGATGATCTCAAGCTTTACGCTCCAACAGAGAAAGACCTAAATCGATTATTTAGCCTCACGGAAACATTTAGCACTGACATAAAAATGAAATTCGGATTAGACAAATGTGCTAAATTGATGGCCGCAAAGGAAAGCCCCAAGAATTTGACAATCTAGAAAATGAAAATATTCGCTATTTAAACAAAGATAATTACAATTGCTTGGGCTACGAACAGAGACTAATAATAGACCGAAAATGCGCAAAAGAAAAATTAAATAAAACTTTAGAAACTAGAGTGTCCAGTATTCTTCGTACGGAACTGACAGTGAAAAATTAAATAAAAGCTATTAATTCATGGGCAGTGCCATCGATAACGTACTCCTTTGGGGTTATTGGATGGTCACAAGCTGAACTTGAAGCTACAAATAGATCCATCCGAGTACAACTGACAAAGTTCAACGTACACCATTCAAGAGCCTGCATACTGAACGGCTGTATATGCCATGTAGCACGGGCGGACGAGGCCTGCTATATCTCAAAACCCTATATCAGAGACAGATAAATAAACTGAAAAAGTACTTTAAGATCAAAACAGAAGAATCAGAGCTGCATAAGATAATCTACGTCCTGGATCACTACTCACCTGTAAATTTGTCCGCCAATGAAGATGTTCCTGTGCTAACCTAACTATGGCTGAATTAAAGACTGCTTGGCTGTCAAAAACGTTGCACGGCAGATTTTCCAATAAGCTGAATGATGCCAATCTCGAGTCCTCAACTGAGTGGCTACGGAAGGGACAACTGTTTGGAGAAACAGAAGGATTCATGGTAGGACAGGTGGACAATGTAATTGCTACAATAAAATTACATAAAATTTGTAGGTACATGGGGTGCAGCTGGATAACGACCTATGCAGCCTGTGTAACAGACCTGTGGAAACAATAGAGCACGTTACTCAGGATGCACTTACCTTGCTCCAACTGAATACCTGCAACGACATAATTTGATTACGAACATAATGGGTCTTTCCCACTCAACTGAATTTAAGTATTTCATCCATATGGTTTGGAAGCTTATCCGATAAAATACTTGAAGGACTATGTGGTTGATTTAAAAAAAAAATATTGAGGGAGATATTAGGTCGGAGTCGAAATTCAATTTCGAGAGTAAGTGAGGACAATTGATCTTTCCATGTATCAATTTGAACAAGAATGACAGAGAAGCCAATTATACTCTCCTATACTTCAGGCTTTGCATGGTGAATCTACTAAGTCCATGGTAAAACCCTCTTACTGTATAGGTTCCGATTATACAGATATGATGCAAAAAGTGCTAGAAGACCGTCAGAAAATCCGAATCTATGCAACTTTGCAACTTAATGATTAATACCCCATGATCCAGCCTGTCAAAAGCCTTGGAGAAATCCGTATGTATCACATCTACCTGGCCCCGCTTATCCAGAATTTCTGATATTTCCTGTGATATACCTATGCATTAGATTTGTTATGGTTGATCTTTGGTTCATAAAGCCATGTTGAAAAGGTGAAATTTGGCGATAGACAGATGCATATCCGTTCATACAAAATGATTTCAAAAATTTTGGAGAAATTGCACAGGATGGATAATGAGCGATAATTTCCTACTTGTGACCGCTCACCAGACTTAAATACTGGGATAACTTTTGCCTCCTTCCACAGATCTGGGTACCTATGTATGGGAACGCAGCATTAAATTAAAGAGGATTCTTAACGGGGTTACCAGAGAGCTGGAACTCTGTAACGGATAGAGATCGTTATCCCTATCGCTATCGCACTTGCTATCTTCTTCTCTCTTATCGAAATCAATAGAGAGGGGTCGCCACTAGAGATAGAGATATTGATCGCTATCCGTTACAGAGTTCCAGCCCAACAGGACACTTATGCATTCCTTAACTAGAAAAGCATGTATACTAGAGATGTGACCGAAGCCGAATAATTATTCGGTATTCGACCTATTCGGCGTTATTTTCGCTATTCGGTATTCGGCCGAATACTCGATTTTCACTACCAAATATTTCATGTTTGGATATTTCACTGAATTTTTCAACATATGTATTTTTAATTAATATTAATTTGAAAAAAAAAAAATGAAAATACAAACTTCTGGGCCCTTATACCCGAAACAGGGGAGCAATGTTCTCATGAGAACAGAGGTTCTGTCTTAGTCATTTCATATTTCCATAACACTGATTTCTCGTGAAAACCCTGTTCCCCGGTTTCAAGAATGAACATCTTGGCGTTAAGGAATTCGACTTAACAAATAATTTAAAGAAAAAATATTAGTATAGCAGAACAATAAGGGGTAGAAAAATCAATAAGTGGTGGGTTATGATGAAAGAACAAAATGCTTTGCTCTAAGTAATAACCGATTCCTTCTATTCTCGTACAGGCTTCCAGCTTCTGAGAATAGTTACTCACTAGTAAACGGTACTTGGAGGAGCTTATAAAATAGACCTTTCCAAGCTGGCTCATCTTTCGATATTTTGAACAGTATTTCTTCCACTAAGAAAATGGACAATGGTCCTTGTCTAAAATTTCACCTGATAAATAAGCCTCTAACTTAATTGCAATTTCGTTTTTGCATTGGAGTGATCAAAGTCCTTATTAGTCAAGACTATTTCATTATAATATTTGAGCTCTGACATGCTTTAATAACTATTCGGTATTCGGTATTCGGCCGAATATTCGGTTCAAATTCAGCCGAATATCCGGTATTCGGTTATTCGGCCAAACTACTATTCGTCACATCACTAATGTATACTATCTGGACCAGACGTCATTTTATTTCTGAGCTAACTAGGCTGCACGAAGCAGGGTGGTAGGTATTTGTCCTCTGACAAACGGACTGGCATTGTGAACAACAAGATAATAGATAAATGTTACCACATTCCAAAGTTGTTGCATATTTTGAATAATTATTTAAACTAAAGGCGAGTTTAAACAACTTCATAACTTTAATTTAGTGCTTAATTCACAATTTAGTGCATAAACTTTAAAGTTAAATTTATTATTTTCTATGGAAGCGTTTATACATCTATTTAATACTCAATTCATAATTTAGTTCATAATGGATAACCTTAAAAGTTCCTAACTTTTAACTTTTATGCATTAAATTATGAAAAAAACCTGGACCTTTCGAGTTCTGTCCGTGTCAAATTTCAAAATATCAATAGAATATTAGTAAAATTTCAAAAATTATGTATTAAATTATGAAGTTGTTTAAACTGGGGTTTTGAGTTATGTATTAAATTACGCATTAAATTATGAAAAAATTACGACTTAAATTTATCAAAAGTTGTTTAAATCCGCCTTAAGTACCTTGTATTTAGGCAGTTTAAGTAATAAATCTTTATTCTCAAATAGTAATTTAATATAAACTGTGGTAATATCGTCATAAAATAATTATAACGACTTTTTTGGAATGTAGATGGACATTCGATGAAGCAGCGCATTTTTGTAATGGGGTTGATAATCATATATTTTTCTTTGTAGCCGATATACCATGTGATGGCGATCTTCCTTTCTAACAGTCTTGGAATGGCACCGACCGTTGTCGGATATGGCATTTGTCATCTCTCTTAGTGCGTCCAAAAATAGCTATATAGTGGGGGATATCTTTCTCTCTCTATTTCATTGCTGTTAGGTTTGGTGTATATTCCTAACCTCAAATATAATATTTTTTAGACAAGGAAAGATTTTCATAAATGGCCCATAAGGTGAATGGAGATAGGTATCCCCCACATTCTCCATCTCAATTTGTCGCATTTTAGAGATAGGCCGGGCCATTCCAGGTACGTGTAGTTTATAGTTCATTGCATCTGAATTGTCGATCAAAAAACGGAGGTACATAAAACTCTGGACCTGACAACGGCCTACTGATGTTATTTCAAGATGATTGTCATGTTCCCTATCAACGATCATGACCATGGTTTTATTGTAGTTGATACTGAGACCACATCTGCACTATGTTGTTCTAAGATGTTAAGTAAAGATTAACAATTCACCCCGAGAAGAAGAAATAAGAGTAGTATCGTCGGCAGACCTTAAATTAGATAATCTTGATCCAACCAGGAGTTACACCACCATGCTAACCGTCCAGTCCATTCTGTTTCATCACAAATTCGGAATAGATGTTGAACAACATCGGCGATAACACACATCCCTGATGAATTCCTTTTCTTGTTGTAGTCTGGTCAGACATGTTACCGTCAATAGTTTACTCGAGCTGTGAGTGTTGGACTCATATAGAGCTATTGTATGAGAAAGATCAGGTGGTGAGGAACTCTCATGGGGTGAAGAAGTTCCCATAATTTAGGCCACTTCATGTTGTCAAATGCTTTAGATAACTGCCTCATGTTCAAGGTCTCTTCGCCTGCTCTGGACATAGTTGGCAGTTGCCAGTCCACAAAACCCTCCAAACGAGACTGCAAAATATACAGCATAACCTTGCTTGAATGAGAGTAGTTTAGTAGTGGAACAAAGATTAAAGTGCTCCATTCGTCTGGCCAGACACCGGCGCCTCATACTTTCTGACACATACGATGTAAAAAAATTAAGCCGTCATCCTCCAAGCACTCCGCCTGTCGCTTAACCAGCTTTCAGTTTCTTAACCAATTCTGAAAAAAGAATTATCTTGCTGACGTTTGTTATAGAAAAAAGGAGATTGAATCATAACATCGGAATAAAAGGTTCTCACAATATTTACGCCACACCTAAATGGCCTCATCCAAACTGGTGATGAGATGTCCATCGGCGCTCTCAACTAACCAAGTTTTGGGTTTAAAGTCCCGACAGAGAAATTTTATCCTCATAGGAACGTCTCTCCTGTGATAGCGTGGGCCTGTACCTCCCTGTATAATTCCTGAAGAGAGGAGTTCTTATCTTGGGCGACAGAGTCTTTGAATTTCACGTAATAATTTTCTATACCGATCGTGCTTCGCATCAGAATCCAGACCTGAGATCTTAAGTTCTGAGAATGGTTGTTGAGAATGAGAATGAGTTCTTTGGGCAGCTTATGTAATTTCAATGTAAACCACATAATATTATTAGAAGAAAATTCATCCGTCACCGACACCGAGGCATTCCGAACATTTTGACCGAAAAGATGCAGGGTTAAATATCTCTTTTGAAAGATTTTTCGCTTAAAACGGGGACATGTTTTCAGCTTATGTGGAAGCTCACAAAGAAGGAGTTGATGGTTTGAGCCACAATGGCAACCTGGTAGAGTTTTTCGAAGACTAGATGACTGACTGGCTCCATCGTGCTCCAACCAAATCGAATTGATTGATTGTCCGCCTGGTGAGAGTGAGACCCAGGTATACAGACGTCGTGGATGTAGTGCAAACAAGGTATTGGCAATAGAGAAGCTGTGGTCAATACAAAATTGGTGCAGACGTTGGCAATTTTCGTTCCTGGCACCAATACCGAATTTACCAATATGTGTCTTGGGATGTTCATCTTCTACTGTTCGACCAACTTTAGCGTTAAAATCTCCAAGGAAAAGGAGCATTACGCGATTAGATAGAAATTCAAGGGTCGACTCAAGGTCGTTATAAAATGATTTCAGTGTCCTCATCCGAGATCGAAGTAAGTGCATAGACCTGCACGACGTTCCGTTCCATGTTGCCAGGCGATATT